TTTTTTTATTGTACATCCCTATTGGTGTATTGGGGGTGGAGATGGGGGAAGAGCACAGATGCAATTTGTATATTTATGGGTAATTTCTATACATGTACTGTTGTCCTAATGTGTCCACAAAATAAGTTTTTAATGAAATAAAGTTAGAAAATAGTACTTAAAAACAATGACAAGATTACCATTTTCAGCCTGTCTTTTGGGATCAAGAAGAAGGTGGTATTCCTCTAGAGGCTGCATTCTTTGATTTATTCACATATCCTGGTTGATAAAAATCTGTCTTATCACATATAAAGAAATTAATCTAAAGCCTTTTTTTTTTTTTTTTTTTTGTGACCGGTAAAGGGATCGTAACCCTTGGCTTGGTGTCGCCCGCCCCACGCTCAGCCAGTGAGCATGTCGGCCAGCCCTATATAGGATCCAAACCCGCGGCCTCGGCGCTCCCAGTGCCGCACTCTCTGGAGTGAGCCACAGGGTCGGCCCTAAAGCTTTTCTTAAACTGGCCTTCTTATGAAGTGATATTTCAATGTCAAAATGTAAAGATTCTCAACTATTGATTGTTTTATGACCAATATTATCAAAGTGGAGTTTTCTTTTTCATATTAGGCAATTGTGCCAGTCTAGCCACACTTTTGTGTAAATTCATTTGCTTTATTCCTCCATGTAGCTGAAATAAGTCATTTTCATCTCTTCTTTAAAAGCCTTTAGGAAGAGACAGTGAGATCCTGGTGGAAACACAAGTCCAATTTATAACACAATAGAAACCACTTACAGACTGTGTGATTCAGGCACATCATTTAACCTCTCTGCTTCTCTGTTTCCTCTTCAGTAAAATGGGAATTAATAGTACTTGTATCATAGGATTGCTGTGAGAGTAAACGAGCATGTGCCAAGCTCTGTGGAAGTACTTTAAAAAATAATTAAATACATTTGGTTGAATACAAAATAGGACTTAGGGGTGGTTTTAAATTCACATTTAAATTCATATATATATATATATATATATATGTTTAGTTTCATGAGATAACTTTTAACATTTTAGAGGTTAATTTGGCTACTGTAATGAGGATATTGAAAAACAAAAATGTTAAGCCTATTTAGAGTGCATGTATTCAATTTAAAAAGAGAAGGTGATGATGGTCCATTGAAAAAAAGTAGAAATAACTCTTAGATTTAGAAATCAAGTAGAAAAAAAGCTTTCCTATACTTTATCCTTGGCCAGCATTTTCTTTTTATTTTTGTGCTTCAGGGGTCTCTGGAAATAACTTTTTTCCTATTCTCAAAATATTGTTTGAAAGTGCTACATTGCTCAAGTTTGAAGGATTTTGTTGATTTTTGAGAAAATAGTAAATATACACTACAACCAGCATTTTCTTTTTAATTTTTGTGCTTCAGGGGTCTCTGGAAATAACTTTTTTCCTATTCTCAAAATATTGTTTGAAAGTACTACATTGCTCAAGTTTGAAGGATTTTGTTGATTTTTGAGAAAATAGTAAATATACACTACATATTTTATTGTAATTGCTGTATTTTGAACATACAGAAATATTTCTTATGAAGTTCCTCAGGTTTCTAATAGTTTTAAAATTATTTTGATTATTGTATCCTAATATGGAATTTAAGGGATGGTTATATACCGTATAAAAATGAGATGGTTTGAATGTGATTTCACTATTAAGGACTATATGTTTTGTTTTTCTTTAACTACAGGTTATCTTGTCTATGAATTTGACAAGTTTTGGTTTGAAGAAGAACCAGAAAGCATTATGTATTTCAACCTGTATAGAGAGAAGTTTCATGAAAAGATTAAAGGACTCTTACTGGATTGTAATGTAGCACTTACTTTAAAAATATAGATCACTTATAGTATCTTCTATTTCTACCACATTTTGCACATACAGCAGAATTTATATGTTGTAATAGAAATTATCTGATCAATTACACTCTTCTATATAATTTCCTACAAAAATATTTCAGAAATTCTATTTAAGAAAGCTAGTAGACAATCAGTGTATGTTTACAATTACTTATACACTGTTCTCCAAAGGTACCTTATCCTTCCAAAGATCCTCTCTGTAGAGTCATGTGAACTACAGCTTGGAGCTTGGGACTCAGCCCGTTAGTATAAATGTATAAATCAGGTATTTGTGTTAAATTGGTTAAAATGTGTAAAAATCAGTTTTCATTTTTATGTGATGTAGCTATCAAGTTGGTATCTTTGTCAAAGCTCTTTTAAGATTTTTTGGTTTTTAATTTGGAAATGCCTGTTTTAAATTTTCTTTGTCTTATTTTTATTTCTGAGTTAATTAACAGCAAGAGTAGTTCTTTATGGTTTTCTCTGCATCTTAATCATGAATCATAATGTTGCTTCATTAGTAGCAACAAGAGCATAGATATGTCAGAGAGGATGAAGAATCATGGTGTCCCTTTTAGATTCTCTGATTATTGAGCATAACAGATAACAAGAGAATGAAAGTATTGGTGACTAGCTTTTTTGTTTTTAAATAACACACTTTAAAAATCAGTGTTATTATAAGGCTTAAAGGCATTTTCTTGTCTTCAGCATTTGCTTTTTATCAATTGTAGAAAAGAACCTTAGTGCTTGGTGTGAGGGTCTATTATGAGGCTTCTCTACATAAGTGTTTATGAAAAGAGATGTATTTGCTAAGAAAATTTTGATTGTACTTAAAAGACAGTTTCTATTTCAATAAAGCTGTCTTTGAAATTTAAATAAGAGGAAAATGTAAAAGCTTTCTAAAATCTTGGTTAAACACTGTTGGTTTATTTAACTTACTGTTAACTCTTGCTTCTCTTTGCTTTGACCACGTGGCATTTCTGGAGAATGATATGTGGACTTTATGTTAACAGTCCGTGGGATTCTAAAGTAGCTTGAGGATGATGACTGTGCATTTTGTATAGCTTTATTCTCCTAAAATCTCAGGAGGGCAGCAAGTGCTGTCAAGGATTATATAGTGATGAGATTCTAATGGGAACAATTTTTTCTTGGTGTGTATTAGACATCTATATTTATAGCAAACTAAAAGAATTTAAAGATAGGAAAGGTCATCTGATTAATAAGTTCTCCTTAAATCCTACAGAAACTAACCTGTTAAAGACATCATTTAATCTAAAACATGATGGTATTTAGCATATCTTTTAATGTGGTATATATCAAGTGTTTAAGGAGTGGTTTATTTGTGATATAGCAAGACCTGAGAATTTTCCAATAGTTGCTCATGTCTATTGACAAACCTCTCTGTTCAACCATGTCAAAGAGAAGAGTGATAAGGAATATCTGACTGGAAAATAACAGATGTTTGTATAGCACATACATTAAAAGTGCATGCGTTAAAATTATTATTTTCTCAACAAGATAAAACTATATTTAAAATATGGTTCATTTTATAATAGTAATGATTTAGCTTTTCAGTATTACAGTTTAAAATTTGGTCTCTCATAGGGGACTTCTCAATCTTGGAAATATCTTTACTTCGTTTTTTAAAAAATGTTTTCATGTTTTATCATCCAGCTAGATTTATATGATGTGCAGTAAAATCCTGACAAGGATCAAGTGTTATCCATTTAAAGTTTATTGTAATAAGGTGTTAACTATTACATGAAAAGCAATTCTCTTAGTCTTTTAATTTTTGTACTGAAAGTACTTATCTTTATGTTCTGATCTTTTAACAGCTGAGATCTTGAGCTGGTTTAAACCTTTGTCAGTATATTTAATAAAAAGATGCTTCAAGTATAGAAGGGGAAACTTTTTAAGAAATTAAGTTTTTCCCCACCTAGGGAGAAAAAATCCATAATGATAAGAAAATGTCATTGTAACATTTGTTCAATTATGTTTTTTAAATCCATCTCCATTTGTACATTATAGATATTGGTCTGTTTTTGCTCACAATATTCAGTAACAATTTCAGATAGTTTTGTAGCAAATTGACCTAAAAGTCACCCACAAATTCTTAAGTTTGATAGTATGGAAGCCAGGCTAAATGTCATCAGTTGTAAACTAGAATGTAATATGAGCCTTCTGACTTACACGTGATAGTGATGTGGATGAAAAGAAAAATATGATAGTGTCTGCCTTTCTACTTTCCTTTGCTTTCAACATATGTATGTTAGAATTTTATGTAGTCTTAAAATCCATATTTAGAGTCTTACCTATTTGTATAAAAATTAGTAAAATGCAAAACTAGTGATAGAACATTATGGCATTTAAGTAGCAGGAAAATTATGTTAGTTTTAGCATCAAAAAAGTGAATCAATGTTGAAATGAATTTTTGTATGTGCCAGATTGAAGAGTGTGTGCCAGTGACGAGAATAGTCTAAAGATAACAATTATAGTAGATGTGTTCTAAAAGACAATCTTTAAACAAATGGGAAAAATCAGGGGTTATCAGTGAACCTAGACCAACCTCTCTCTTTGTATATAAATACGGCGGTATAACTAGATGTAAGAATCAGTGCATTACTGGCATCATTTACAGTTTAGAAAACAGAATCTTTTTGTTAAAAATGTCCACCTTGATTTTTTTTCTATTTTTAAGAGTTACTTGGATTTGTATGTATTTTTCTATGTGAAAATATATGTACTCTTCATTTTTATTCTAATGTTCATAATTGTTCATGCTCTGTTTCTCCCCTTGGAGGATAATCAGTGAAATAGTACTCAGTCTAAGATTTGCTCAAAGAAGCAGCATTACACAAGTGTGAAAAGCATATGCTCACTGCCAGAACAGAAAAGGTTACTCATTATGATGGCACAGAAAAGAGGAGATTTGGCTTGTCGGGCAATAGTGTTTTTTATTCTTCTTGAAATAATGATTGGGGGCCAATTTTCTCAGGATAAATGCTCCATTATCCTGAGCTATTTTCTCAGGATAAATTCTCCATTTCATTTCTCTATGAACAAGTCTGGAGAGGCCTAATTTCCATTTTCATATTTATGAACCTCTCCACACAAGCAGTTTTTTAATGAAAATTAATGGAATTGTTAAAAATCTGAGAGAAATCATGTCTTGAGTATTTTGTGCCCCCCTCCCCCCCCCTCTTCAGCTTTTGACAGAAAATATTTAAAATGCAGTGCAGGTAAGACCTAAATACTACATTACTATTAATGGTTTAGGATGATTCTGTTAAAGTATTTTAAAAAATTGAAGCAGTAGGTTTCCCTGGGAAAAAGTGCCATTTGGCAACTTAGGAAATTGATTTTTGTCTCTTTGGATAAAGCAGTTGATTTCTTCAGTAAAAGCAATGGTGTGAAATGTGATGTCATTTTGTTAGGAATGTTAAGTGAGCAAATAAAAAACATGTTGAAATTGTCATAAGCCTTTCTGTTGATGCTTCTCTCTTCCCACCCTTCCCATCCCTTAAGTTATTTATGTTCATAAAATGGCATTTTTCTTATATAATCTTCTAATCATGTTGCTACAGGTAAATCAGAAAATACAGAACAATTTTTTGTGTGATTTGTTTAACTTCCAATTGCCCGTTTAAGACGTTATTGAATGAGAATAATTGGTTACAAGACTGAAAATTTGCTTCCTTTTTTAAAAAGCCAGCATCTCTGCAGTCCATTCTCACAAAGGCTAGTAATTCAATTCATACTGCACTGCACTTTTTTATTAACTTTATAATGTGTCTTGGATCTACTTTCATATTAATACTTAGCTTCTTTATTCTAGTTTTTACAGCTGCATAGCATTCTTGTGTGTGTGTGCTTTATTTTGAAATAAACAAAAATACTACATATAGACAACTGGTTGGATAAGACTAAAGCAATACTTGGTAAAGTTAGTACTAATTATAACTTTAAATATATATATTTGAAAATTGAAGGGCTGAAAATTAAAGACAAAACTTCTAAAGATGTTTGAAGAACAAAATAAACCTAATGAAAACAGGAAAGGGATTCTTCAAGAACTTAAGTGCGGGCCGGCCCGGTGGCGCACTGCTACAGTGCGCCGCTTGGGAGCGCAGTGGCGCTCCCGCCGAGGGTTCAGATCCCACATACAGACCGGTTCCCGCTCACTGGCTGAGCAAGGAGCGGGCGCAGCACCGAGGGTTGCGATCCCGTTGCCGGTCCCGGTCCGGTACGGGCGCGACACTGAGGGTTGCGATCCGTTGCTGGACACGAAAAAAGACAAAAAAAAGGAAAAGGAAAAAAAAAAAAAAGAACTTAAGTGCATTGAATAGAAAACAAGCATGTTATAGGATCAACAGAAGTAAAATTTTTTTGCTTGAAAAGACTAATATTGATAAACTTTGGTGGGACTAATAATGAAAGAGAAAGCAAATAATAAATGATGTCAAGAATGAAATAGGGATATCACTACAGATCTTACAGATAGTGAAAAGAAAATAGTAAGAATAATTTCGTCAAAAATTTAGATAAAATACAAAAAATTCTAGAAAAATACAATTTACCAAAACTGCAAGAAGAAATATAAAAGTGAAAGTCCTAGAGCTATTAAACTAAACCTACAATTAAAACCCTCTGCACTGAAAACACTGCAGTTCTATATAACTTGCACCAGTGAGTTAAATAATACTTTCAAGATCCAAATAATAGTTTTCACAAACTCTTCCAAATAATAGAGTGTAGACTCTGCAATTCATGAAACTATCATAATCTTGAAGACTAAAACCCAACAAGGGCATTATGAAAAATAAAAATTGTTTGTCATTATCACTTTAGATGCAATAATCCTATATAAAATATTAACATACTGAATCCAGAAATATACTAAATTTAATTTATTAAAAAATAATGGACACCCCAAGTCAGCCACACCGGAACAGGCAGGCACTGTGGGACCCCCAACCCGGGTAAGTCCCCACTGCCTAGAGAGGCCTGAGAGCTGCCAGGCCCACACACTCCAGTCAGCTGCGCTGGAACAGGCAGGCACCATGGGACCCCCAGCCCAGGCCAGTGCTCACTGCCCAGAGAGGCCTGAGAGCTGCCAGGCCCACACGCCTCAAGTCAGCCACGCCAGAACAGGCAGGTGCTATGGGACCCCCAGCCCACATTAGTCCCTGCTGCCCACAATTGGCAGTCCTTTCTGGACCCAGGCCAGACATCAGGGTGGAATGAGTGGACTGTGATACTCCCTGCCACAATGACTAAACCAAGGAAAGATACCAGAAATATGAAAAATCAAGAAAGTACATCACGACCAAAGGAAAACTCTCAAGCTCTAGATCCTATAGATCAGGAAATGATCCGACTTGAATTTGACTTGAAAGACTGACATGGAATTTTGAGCAACAATTCTAGGGAAACTAAATGAGATACAAGAAAACTCAGTTAGATAACACAATGAAATGAGAAAAATTATACAGGACCTGAAAGAAGAATTGTATAAAGAAATCCATGCCCTGAAAAAGAATGTTGCAGAGCTTGTGGAGCTGAAGGATTTATTCAATGAAATAAAAAAAACAACAGAGTCTAACCAGCAGGCTAGAACAACCAGAAGAGAGAATTTCTGACCTTGAAGACAGGCTGTTTGAATTAACACAAGTGGACTAGAAAAAAGAATTTAAAAATCTGAAGAAAATCTAAGAGAGAGAACAAACAACCTTAAGCGCTTAAATATCCGAATCATGGGTGTTCCAGAAAGGGAGGAAAAAGGAAATGGCATTGAAAACATACTCAAAATAATAGCAGAAAACTTCCCAGGTATAGGGAAAGTCACAAATCTTCAGAGTCAGGTGGCCCAAAGATCA